GAAAACGTGTGAAAGCCGGGGATTAGCGCTGCACAAAGCCGAGGGGCAGGGGGTGGCTCTGCCTGGCTTGGCACGGGGGGCACCAGGACCCCCTGGCAGCCCTGCACTGGCAGGGCAAGATGGGTGCTCGGGGTGCAGCCCTGCCTGGCTCTCAGCTGAGTGTCCCCCCGGCTTTTAGCGGGGTGGGTTTGGTGCTTTAGGAGCCAGCTGGGTGCAGCGGGGGGCTGACATCTGGCCGGCTCACAAAGGGCTCCCATAAATCTGTCCGCAGGGAGGGCATGGCCGGCTCTGCTGGGAGGGCACTGGGTGCCCCGAGGCAGCAGCTGCATCCCCTCAAGGATGCTGAGTGTTCAGGGTGCTCCCCACCTGGGCAGGGATGCTGATGGGCCGGGATTGGGATCGCTCCGTAGCTCTCCCGGTTCCTCTGTGCTTGCCCTCAGAGCCAAGAGGGGAATTGCACAGGTTCCCAAGCTTGTGCTCGCCTCCCTGATTGCTTTTGCTTTTGAAAAGGGCTTAAACCCAGCCATTTTAATAGTCGGTAGAACAAGTGTTAAAGGAGATCCTCAGGTGCTTATTTGTTTCCATGCAAAAGGATTTGCTCAGAGCAGTTTTCCCAGGCTGTGGGCCCAGGAGGGGTGCACAGCATCCCCTGAAGCAGAGAGGAAGGTGACAAGGGGATTTAGGAGAGATCGGTGGGGGCCCATCCTGCACATCCTTGGCATGTTTGGTGGTAGAGAATAGCATAATTTGTTCCTGATCATATACTTTTCATCCCAGTTTCAGTCCTATTACAGTCACACCTGCAGCTGCTGAGCAGTCACGTTCCCAGACTTGTCGTTCCCACATTGAGCAATCCCCTTGCAGGGGCCTGGCTGCAGCAGAACTCAGCACATCTGCTCTGGACAGAGCCATTACTTCTAGTTTAACATCCTTGAGTTCTGAGACTTCTTCCAAGAGTCTTCCCTCCAGGAACTGGGGGAGCTGTCAGCCCTTCTCTCCAAATAATCCTGTGCGTGGAAATGCTTCTGCACGTCTGTTCTGCATCCCCAGCTGAGGCACCACAGGCCTGGGCTTGCAGCCACCACGGGATGAGTGCCCTGAGGGCTGGGGAGTGCAGTCACACTCGGTGGTGTCTCCCCTGTCCCGGCTGCAGAGGGGGGTCCTGGCTCCTGTGTGTTTTCAGGGGGGATCCATGAGCACAGCGTGGCAATAGCAGGGGAGAAGGGGCTGGGCAGCGTTTGAGCAGTCCCATCTGCTGTCTGAGCCGCAGCAGACACTGGGGAAGGGAATATTCTGGTCTGCACTCGGTGCCAAGGCTCTTCCCTGAGCAGGGAGGGCTGTGAGCCATCAGTCCCAGTGCTTTTCCAGCTGCTGGCTCCTCCGGTGGGGCTGTGCTGCTTCCAGCGCCGCATTCCCGCTCAGACCGACCCCCGGGATTATCCAGCTGCTCCTCCCGGGCAGCTGAGGCTGGCTGAGCCTCTCCAGAGCTTCCCCTCGGGCCGTCCCTCCATGGAAAAGCCCATTTTTGGGAGGTGCAGAGTGCCTGCTGCCGGGGTGGGTGAGAGCAGCCGTGCCCAGGCAGGATGCTGGGGGCACAGGAGGATGTTCCTGCCAGGCTGTGAGCATTATCCCTCCCCAGGAGCCTGACTGAGGCATTCTGGCTCTGCTTTTGTCCTTGGCTCTGGCAAAGGTGGCTCTGAATTGTGCAAGTCACTGCAGCTTGGGTGGCAGAAGAGCAGGGTGAACCCTGGGGCTGGCAGGGCAGAGCTGCCCCCCATGGCCAGCTTGTGTTTGGTTGTGTTTTATGGGTTTGGGTGGTGAGCCAAGGGCAGCCAAAGGTGTGCCAGTGCCTGAGCACAGTGTGCAGTGAGACAGCAGTTCTGGAGGTGTGTGGAAAAGTGTCCTGTGCTGTCCTGGCAGTGCAGTGACACCAAACACAGCATTCTCAGTGCCAGTCCTGTGCCAGCGTGTGGAGGCACTTGGATAAAAGCTGCTGTGGTTGTGGCATTGTGGCAGCCCTTCCTGCCCCAGTGCTGGCTCTGTGCCTGGCCCCAGCCTGGCACAGGATGTCACCTGGCACCTTCTCTGTGGCACAGATCAGTGCCAGGACAGCCACCACTGCTGGGTGCTGAGGTGAGCCAGGACCAGGCACTGCCAGGACAGGAGGATTTATCCTGGGCTGCCAGGGGGCACAGGGCAGTGCCAGCCACACCAGTGTCCCTGCTCTCTGCGACCTGTGGCATGGGGACACTCAGACCAGGAGCTTGCAAAGCCTTTAAGCTCCTCCTGTGATGGGCACAGCAGCAGGGTGAAGGATTATGCCTGTGCCTGGGTCTGGAGGATGAATAACAGCATCCAGAGTCCTTCTGCAGATAACAGGGCAGGAGCTGTTGCCAGGCAGGAGAAAGGCTGGTGAGGCAGCAGGCAAGGAGTGATCCCAGCCTGGTTCTGCTCGTGGGGCAGGAGGGCAGAGGGGCCCAGCCTGAGCACGGGCTGAGGGCACACGCCAACTTCTTCTTTCCTTTTTGGGAAATCCAAAGGATTTTGCTTTTCCTGGCATCTTCCCAGCCCCTCAGTGACATCACAGAAATAAGGGCCAGGAACATGTTGAGCCCCTTCCCCAGCTGCCCCCCGGGTCCTGCTGCCCTCCCCAGTGCTCACCTGAGCACTGCTGCAGACAGCAGGGATGGGGAGCATCTCAGGATGCAGATACCTGTTGCTCTTTTAAATCAACTCCTGCTAACAGGGCTTTTCCCTGGATTTTAACTCATGCTGATGTAGTGATTTGCATTTCTTTGGATTAGCAGCTGGACTTTGAAAAACAGGTTTTAAAGCCTTCAGGGCAGGTGAACTGCCCTGGTCTGTGTGGCCCCTGCCAGCCCCGAATTCCTGGGGTGTACCTCAGGGCAGGGAAGGTCCCAACACATTCCCTTGGGACTGTTTGAAGCCAGACGTGCAGCTGAGCCTTTCTGGTATAAAATATCTTGTCTCCATCCCTGATTTTGTTCATCTTCTGACCAGAAGATTTCCATGGCTCAGCACGTTGCTGTGCTCAGTGCCACTATCCAGCACTTGCAGGGAGCTGTCCCAGACTCTCGTGCAGTGCTGACTTTCACCTCCCCTGAGCTGGCATTGGCAACAGGAGCCCAGGGGGCTGGCAGGGGGATTGCCCGTGCCTGGCACAGCCCTGGCCCTCGTGGTTACAGGGAAGCCTTTAAATACACACTCAAAGGTCAAATGCTGGGAGACAAAGGTTCCCCAGCCTAGGTGCTTTGGTTACTTTATGGAGATCTGGAGAATTCCAGCCTGATTTTTGGGGGGTTATTTTGCTGTTGGGGGTTTGTGGGCTGGCACAGCATTGCTGAGCCAGTGGTTCTGCACAGAAGCTCTCATCTCCATCCCTGGATCGTGTGTGTGTATCCAGCATGAGCTGTGCTCCCGTGGGCGTCCAGGCTCGTTCCCCATCCTCTTGGAGTAGCCAAATCTTGTAAGGAGGTGTGTAGCCTGTGAATGTGTTACAACTCAATTTAATACGTGACTAAACCAGCCATGCAATATTGCAATTAAAGTATAATTCCAGAGGTGTGAACAATGCTGGCTCTTCGCTGGAATGAGTCAGGGGAGCGGAGGAGGAAGCGAGCAGCAGTGTTTTATTAATTGACTCCAGTGGATTTATTTGTCCTCAGTGAATAGAGCTGGGCTGAGCTGTCGGAATTGTTCCTGCTCTGCTCACACCACGCTCTCCATGCCTGGCTCCTGGCAAGCTGATCCTGGGGACTGAGAATTACTGGGATGGAGACAGTTCCTGGCTGAGTGACCAGTTAAATGGATATAATGAGTGAGCAGGAGCGAGCTGGGGGCTCCTGGTGCTGTTTGGAAATGGCCCCTTGTGCCTGACAGTTCTGCTGCTGCTTTTCCCTGGGTCCTGTCCTGCCTGGGAGCAAATGCCACGGGAAGGTGGCACCGGATGGCCCCTGGCACCGTGCTCAGCCCAGGGACCGACTGGTGCACCCAAATGCAAATGCTTCCAGGATTACAAAAACGCCAGGGAAGGAGAGCAGAGCGTGCCTGGAGCAGGAATCATCCCTGTGATTCCTCTGGTACCGAGTCAGAGCAGCGCTGTCCCTGGGGATGCAGGTGGGGGTAAATTAGCAGTGGGGCAAAAAGTGAGCTTCTCCTCGAGTTCCCGCTGAGTTGCCCATGTAGTGCAAGTGTGTTTTGTTCTCAGCAGCCTCTGGAAGCCCCTTGGAGCAGCTCGGGGCTGTGGCTGGCACAGGGGCTGAGCACTGGGGACGTGGCTGTCACACATGGTCTTGCTGGGCAGGGGAGAGCCCAGGTGACCTTCAGAGGTGACTGCTTCTCTTAATGGCTTGGAATCTGATTATACCATTTCACTAAGAAATGTGCTTGGCACGTTCTTCTGCATTAAATACCATTTAGGGACAGTTATCCTGAACTCTCTGCCTGCCGCTTAGGAAAAAGCCTTTGAAAATGATATTATGGATCAAAAGTGTTCTTGGGGTAATTCTGTTTCAAACAGTGGAGTTAATCCAGAACTGAATTTGGCCCTGCATTTTCAAACGAGAAGCAGTAGCTGTATAATCTGTTTATGGTTTTAAAGTGAATGTTAATCTTGGATTTGGTAGCTTTTCCAAAAGGTCGATTTGCCGTGCTGCAGAGCATTTTAACCCCCTGCTCTGACACTCTCTGAGCAGACTCCATGTTTTATTTTAAAGAGTGATTTTCCCGTGTTTATAAATACATGTCAAACCTGGAAACGTTAAATCTGGGCAGCCCTTGGCAGTGGAAGTAATGCCATTTTTCTTGCCTTGCATTTTGCCGCTACAGCTCGTGGCGCGGCACATCCAGGCTCCGGCGATGGCTCAGTCCCACGAGGATGCAGTGGGACGGGTGGAACGGAACCAAATGTCCCCTGCTGAGACAGGGGGAACCCCTGGGTGCTGTCCCCTGGGTGACTCTGTGCCCTGTCCCCTCCGCAGGTGGGAGGATGCAGCCGTGCGCCGGGGGCTGACGCGCGGAGCCGCCGGCCGCGGGGAGCGGGACCCCCGCCGCCCACCCATGGTCCCGGCTGGCAGCCGGGGCAGCCCCCCGTGAGGAGGGGCACGGGCACAGCCGGGACCGCGGGCACCGAGCCCCCGCAGCCGCCCCGCCATGACGAGCCTGTTCCGCCGGAGCAGCAGCAACGGCGGCTCCCGCGGCGGCTCCTCCGCCCAGGAGCTCAACAACAGCCGCCCCGCCAGGCAGGTGCGGCGCCTGGAGTTCAACCAGGCCATGGAGGACTTCAAAACCATGTTCCCCAACATGGACTACGACATCATCGAGTGCGTCTTGAGAGCCAACAACGGCGCCGTGGACGCCACCATCGACCAGCTGCTGCAGATGAACCTGGACGGCAGCGGCTGTGACGACAGCTCGGACTCGGAGGACAGCATCCCCCCCGAGGTAACTGCGTGGGGCTCCCCTCTGTGGGCTCTGCCTTCCGCAGCTGGGCACATCAGACTCATCCTGCCTGGGCACGGTGCTGCTCAACTGGTTTGAGTGCCCAGATCAGCTGGGCTCGAGCACCAAAGGTTGTCTTGGGCAGTGCTTCAGGCTCGAGCCAAGTGCTCTCCCTCACCCCAAAACCCAACAGAGACTCTTCTGCTGCTCTCAGACACCCTGGGGCTGTGTGCACCAAGGATAGGCTCAGCCACCCTCCTCCCTTTAAATCAGTACCTCCAAACTCCACCAAAACCCCCCTGGGTGCAGGAGGCCCAGTGCCAGCAGGTTGCCCCATCCTCTGCAGCAGCATTCAGCCTGTGCCCTCCCTGTTTTGCTGCTGCACGTGGGGCTGTGGCTCGCTGGGGAGCATTTCCCTGTCCTGCCCTCACCCCATCCTCTCACCCTGCAGATCTTGGAGCGGACCCTGGAGCCGGACAGCTCGGATGAGGAGCCCCCTCCTGTGTACTCCCCTCCTGCCTACGAGAGCCAGGCCTTGGGCAGCCGCTACCCCCGTACACAGGGGGTCAGGCTGTGGCTGCTGGCCCTGGCACGGCTGTCTGGCCCTGCTCCTTGTAGGGTCCAGTGAGACAAAGACAAGGGAGATGAATGAAGCTCACAGCTGGCTCAAAAATCCCTGTGAGGGTCTAAAACATGAACAGCTGAGGGGCCGGAAAGCCTCTCTGGCAGCGTGTGGAATGGCAAAAATCAGCTCCGGGGGCGGGAGCGCTCACTGCTGCTGCTGGAAAACACCAGGTGCTGGGCGGCCCTGCCCCTGCTCCCCACCACACACCTCGGCTGGCTCTGGGCAGCACAGCTCTGGCCGTAGCTGTGGGGCAGCAAGTGTGAGCCCTGGGCACCTCTGTGCCAGCCCCTGCCCTCTGTGCAGGCTGGGTGTGACATTGGGTGAGAGACGTTTGTCAGCTTGGTGGGCAAACCCTGCAGTGCTGGGGCTCCACCGGGCTGGGTTTTGGGAGTCTGAGTGAAACAGGGAGGAGAAGGAAAACCCAGCGTGCAGAGTTGCAGGGCAGGGCTTGAAATACAGCTCCCAAAAAATTCCAAACCCTCTAGGAAAGCTTTCACTCTCCAGATCTGATGGTAACACTGCAGCTTCGGGGATGTGCTGGGGTTTTTGTGGCTTCCAGGACTGCTGGTGGAGCTGGGCAGGCTCTGCTGTGCCAGGCTCTGCTGTGCCAGGCCCTGCTGTGCCAGGCCCTGCTGTGCCAGGCCCTGCTGAGCCAGGCCCTGTGCCACGCTGCCATGGCAGGTGTTGGTGGGTTTCTCCTCACCAGAGGTGCTGCTGTGTTGCCCCGCAGGACGGACGTGCCCGGCCCTGGCAGCTCCGTGCACTACAGGAACTGGAACCCGCCGCTGCTGGGAAACCTCCCCGAGGACTTCCTGCGCATCCTGCCCCAGCAGACAGCTGGCACACAGGTGAGCTTGGCCACCCCTTCCAGCCTGCTCTGACTGGATGGACACCATCCCAGACCTCAGCCATCCTGAGCTTGCAGCATCAGCACATCTGGGCACCAGGTGTAGAATAACCCCAAAGTTTTGGAGCGTGTGCTGTTCAAGAGACTGAAGTGGGCAAGGGGTGAAATAGCTCTCAGCAAAGCTTAGATATTTTTCCTGCATTAGCCCAGTGATTAGTGCCAGAAATGCCACTTGCCGTAAGCATCTAATATTTTCAATTATTTGAGAATCTTGTCTGCTGCCCTGGTGAGGAGCAGCAGGACCAGTAGTGCTCCTAAGGAGAGCAGCACTGCCAGGGCACTTGAGGGCTGCTGCAGTGGAATTTGGGTGGAAAACAGTGCAAGCCAGAGGATTTGCCCCTGGGAAATCAGAGTCCACATGTGCTCCATGGTTGTTTTAAGCTACAAGGTTTGGGTGCCAGCAGCAGGGCAGGCAATGGGCAGCATCCCATGGGGAACAACATGGGATGCCCAATACATGCTGGGCATCCTGCTCAGCTCCAGGCACAATTTGGGGCATCCCTCAGCCCTTTGGTGACACAGGAACCCCTAAATGGATCCAGCACCCTCCTGGCATGGAGAGGGCTGGGGGGACTGCAGGCACCCTGCTCCTCATTCTTGTTTCGTCTCCAAAGGCAGCCTGCCACGTTTTCATGAATGATTGCCCTGCAAGTTGAGCTTCACGGGCTCTATTACCTTTCTGGGAATAGGAGCGTGCCAATTCATTTGGGCTCAGGGGGAGGAGAGGAGCAGCTGCCCTTTTCTTTCCCCAGTAATTGTGTGCTTTTGCTTTTTATGGCTCTCAGGGAGCAGCTACAAATCAGATAAATATTGTAGGCAGGGACGAGGCTGTGCCGCAGCGTGTGGCTGTGCTGCTCCCCAGGTGTGAGGCGTTTGTCAGCAGGACACTGCAGACTCTGCTCTTTGGGGATGGGAGATAAAGCAGCAATGCTGCTGAGACCCTTCTCCTACCTCCACACCTCTTATACCTCTGCTATGGCACAACCCCACGGCTTAAAGTTAAAAATCCCTGCCAGCCTGTGCTCTGTCAAAGGACCTCCAAAGTGTTCCCACGTGGGATGTCTGTCCCGCTTCCCAAGGGGCAGAGGCAGTGATGCCCTGTCCCCCTTTGTCCCTTTTACCCTGGGCTGTGGGGCAGAGGAGGGAGGCTCTGGGAGCAGCAGTCGGTGCCCATCGGGGCTGGGGGAGCTGCGGTGTTACAGAGGGGCAGAAAATCCCGAGGTGCTGCTGCAGGGACCCCTGAGAGCACCACCCAAGGTGTGCCACGTTTGCCTCCCCAGGGCTCCCCCGGCTGCCGGCAGCCCGTGCCACGGGGGCTGGTGCCACGGGGCCAGGGCTCCCTGGAGCAGGAGCGGCGATGGAAGCAGTACCTGGAGGACGAGCGGATCGCGCTCTTCCTGCAGAACGAAGAGTTCATGAAGGAGCTCCAGAGGAACCGGGATTTCCTTCTCGCCCTGGAGAGAGGTGAAAGGGCCTTCAGAAACTTCTGCTTTTTGGATGTGTGCCCTGCTGTGACTCTGGCTGCTGGCAGCAGTGCCCTGCCCGTGGGATCAGGGCTTGTGCCAAAGCAGAGCCAGTACAAGACGTGGCCAGGCTGGGGGCTGGGGGTCTGAGCTGCCCGCACTGGTGGGCTGCTCCCTGGGCTCCTGCTCTCCTCCCAGCATCTCTGCAGAGCCCAGCAGAATCCATAGCAAGGAGCTTTGGCAATGGCCTCTGAGCCCTCCCCAGCCCTGTCAGTGGTGCTCTGCAGGGTCCTAGCAGCGCCGTCACTGCAGGTGGCAGAAAAACCAGAGGTGTGCTTGTTGTGTGCTTGTGGTGGGTGGGCAGTTCCTCTGCTGCTGTGGGCTCCCACCGCAGTGCTTGTGGTCTCTGTGCAGAAGCAAAGCCCCAGCTCCCTCCCTTGCCAGCAGCCTGTCCCTCAGCAGCCGCGGGGCTGTGAGGGGAGAGGGCAGCAGAGCCATGTGCTCTGCCTCGAGGGTCTGATCGAGCGGGCGCTGCGCTTTTTGTGTTTCAGATCGATTGAAATATGAGTCAAAAAAATCCAAGTCGACTGGTGTTGCTGTCAGCAATGACTTTGGTTTCTCCTCCGTATTATCAGGTAACTTCCAAGACATATGTGAGCATTGTCTCTCCACAGCAGGATCCCCCAGAGCCCCTGCATTCCCATCCCTCTGCCCAGCTGCATCCAGAGTGGCTGTGGAGGGAGGAAATGGCTGATCCCTCCCTGCTGCCCTCCCAGCACGGGAGAGGAGCTGGTGGGTCTTGGGGGTGGGTGCTCCTGCCCTCCCCATGTGGAGGTGCTCCTGCATCCTGCCTCCATCCATCCTGCCCTCCCTGCCTGGGCTGGAGCAGAGGATTGTGCCTGCAGGCATAATGACTGTTCCTGGGTAATCCTGATTAACCTCGGAGCAGAGCAGCTGCCCAGAGTCAGAATTAGAGCTGGTGTCTGTCGATGGCATGGGGTTGGGTGAGCCTGGGCAGCCTGGCAGGGCTCCAGCTGGGCTCACAGACCTGGGGAACAGGGACATGGCTCTGGGGTCTCTGGCTCCCTGACCCAGCTGGGCTTGCTCCTGATCCACTGGGTAGCATCATCCAATACCCAGAGCACAGTCAGAGCCCGGGGGAGTTTGGAGCTGCTGACCCTGGAGGGAGGTGCTGGGACTGAGCACCTGTAAGGATGTGCTGCCAGCCCATGGCTCTGCACTCCGCATCCCAGGGGTTGTGTCCCCAGAGGGTCCCCATCCAGAGCCAGCCCCACGTGCCAGCACCCTCATCCCACCTGCTCTCGCCAGCTCTGCCCTTTGCTGCTGCTGGAGTTGAAGGGATTGGTGCCAGCCCCCTCAGGCCCTCCTGGTGAGCAGTGTTTGCCTTGCAGGTGAGGGAGCTCCCTCTGGACCCAGCGAGGCCAGCGGGGCCGTGTCCGACGATGCCTTATTCCGAGACAAGCTCAAACACATGGGCAAATGTGAGTGGTGGGCAGGGCCCGTGCTGGCAGCCTGGCAGGGCTGGAGGGCAGCTGGGAGTGGGGTGGGCAGCGGGAGATGGCAGCAGTACCTGGCACTCTCCCAAACTCATCCTTTCTCTGTGGAGTCACAGCCTGCTTTTCTTACCACAAACTAAACCAAGGCTGGCCCCAGCTGGGCTGCAGGCACTGGGGACACTGGGAGGGGTGGGTAAGGAAGGTCATGAAAATCCCAGAAAAAGGGGAAAACATGAGCACCTCCCAGCAGGGACCAAGGGACCCTGTCTCCCTCTCCGAGTCTGGGCATCACCACAGGGTGTTGGGTGTGGGTGGCTCTCACACCCCTGGCCCTGCCCTTCTCCTTTCCCCTGCCCTTGGCAGCTTTGGGAAGGGTTTTTGGGTGAGACCCTCACCCAGCTGCTTCCTTCCAGCCACGCGCAAGAAGCTGTTCGAACTCGCCAGAGCCTTCTCCGAGAAGACGAAGATGAGGAAATCAAAAAGAAAACACTTGTTGAAGCACCAGGTGTATCCTGAAAGGGGCTGTGGGGCAGGGGGGGCTCCCCAAGGGCTCCTCTGTGGCTGGAGCGTGGGCTGGGAAGGGTGGCTGTGGTCCATGGCCACGTCCTGGCCCCACACGTGGTTTTCCTTAGCGGAGGGCGCAGGATGGGGACAGCAGCTTCCACGGCAAATCTTCTGGATGATGTGGAGGGACACGCATATGGTAAGGAGTGCTGTGTTGGGTGTGCTGGGTGTGCTGGCCTTGGCACGGCTGGGTCCGTGGTGCCCGGCCCCACGTCACCCCAGGGCTGGCTCAGGTGTGAACGCCTGCCAGAAACACCCCTGTGGGCCAAAATCCTCCATCCAGCGTTCTCAGATGTGTTCTGGGAGAAACCCCCCAAGTCCCCCTGGGGCTTCTCTCTCTGAGCAAGGAACCCCTGCCCTGGGGAAAGCTGAGCTGCCTCCCCCCGTGCTCCTCCCTGGAGCTGGGGCCGAGGTGCAGTGGTGCCCTGGTGTGGAGGTGGCTGCAGCCCCCCCTCTGCCTTTCAGATGAAGATTTCCAAGCACGGCGGCAGCAGCTCCGGGAGGAGGAGGAGACGCCGAAGGAAGGGCAGTAACCGGTGAGAGGCACCTGGGGATGGGTGATCACTTAGGTGTGAGTGGCCCAGCCTGGCTGGAGGAGGGACCACGTGCTTTAGGCTGGGTCCAGAGTGTGTCCGGGTGGGGACAAACCCCATCAGTGGCCATGGGTGGCATGGCTGGGACAGCCACAGGTGCTGTCACTGTGTGGCTGAGGCTGAGCACACGCTGTTCTCTTTCCCCCCTTCCCCTCCCTGCAGGTCCCAGCTCTGGGGTTTCTTGCTGGCACAGGACGTGCACGAGGCTTCATCAGGAGATGGCTGAAAAAGGAAAAACCCACCCAACAAATCACACAGATTTTGGCTGTTCCCCCTCTGCTGCTGTACTCCTCTGAAGTACAAGTATCGAAGTGAGGCACAACGTTTTCTTACCAGTGGTTTGAAAACAACTTTTTCCTATGGAGAAAATCAGCCAAAAAGGAAAAAAAAAAAAGGAAAAAAACAAGGGGGCAGCTGCTGCGAGCGGCTGCGGAGGAGCCAGCGAGCTCCGGCTGGGGAGGGGCAGAGGGGCAGCCCCTCCTGCTCCCTCGGCCGGCGGCACAGGAGGAATGAAATCAGCCGTACTAACGAGGATCCAATCCCACGTGGGGTCTGCTTGGCCGGAGCACTCCTGAACATATCTGTAGTGGTCTGATGTAACTTCACTCTGCGCACACCGGGACAAAAACCACGTGAGAAAGGGAAGCTAACAGCCGTTGTCTATTATTGCTAGGAGTAACGAGCAGAGATTCAGATCAGGTAATAGTCAAATAATATAAATTGTTCATAAAAGGAAAGGCCTTCTTTTCCTAGGCGTTTCACTTTGAATTAAACCTTTGCCTTCGGCATTGCTACAACTGCCTTGAAGTTGGGAAGCTTTGTGCCACGGGGCAGCACCAAGGGCTGGATTTCACACCGGTTTCACCCTCACTGATGGAGCAGGACACATCCCGCCGGGTGTGGGGTGCTGGGGGTGCTCCCGGAGTCTGGGAGCTCCAGGGATGCATGCCCCCGTTGTCGGTGAGAGGCAAAGCCCAAGCCAGGGGCTGGCAGGGCTGCTGGAGGTGTTTTCAGCACGGAGTTTGCACCAGGGTTGGGGGCACTGCTGGGTTTGGTGCGGGGCAGGAGCAGAGCCCCTTCCTCGTGCCCGCAGCGCCGGAATCCTGCAGCTCTCGGAGATGCTGTCAGGCTAAAAATAATTACATAAACAAATTCCTTCGCTGTGTAAGTAATGAGTGACGAGCGTAAAGTCAGAATTCGCTCCCGCCAGCACATTTTCTTCTCCTTTATCGGCACAGCGTTCCCTGCCAAATGCAGGAGGTGGCTCTAGACGTGCCTGTTTCACTCTCTGGCTCCTGCCAACCAGCACAAATGTTGCAGGATCGGAGCTGTGAAGGCGGCAGACGCAGAAGCCCCAGCCATCAAACACTCACGCAACTGTTTTCCCTGCCTCTCCGCAGGGTTTGGTAACAAAAGTCCCCCTTGCAGGCGCTGGCTCCCGGCAGGCTCCTCTTCAAAATCCCAACGGAGCCCGCGTGCCTTTGAAGTGGACGCCAAGATTTCCAGATTTCCTCCCCCGGCGGCGCTGCAGCTGCTGCACCTGTTGAGCGCTGCTGTGGTCCCCTGCAGCCCTGCTGGGGATGGGGGCATCCCATCAGCTTCACTTTCTCCTGCTTCCTTGGCCAGGGGCAGGGCTGCTTCCAGGTGTCTGGGGCTGTTTCCAGGTGGTCTGTGTGGTGTCTGTGTAGCACAAAAGTCCCGCAGCACCAGTGCTCAGACAAGTTCTGGGGTGCCGAGGGTCAGGGCAGGTGCCGTGGGCTGGGAGCACTCTGGGATGCCAGCAAGCTTTGGGCTCCTAAAATAAATGAAAGCAGCACAATTCCCACCCCAGCCAGCCCATACCAGTTTTGGTGTCGTCTCCTTTGCTTTTGAAGGACTGAAGAGCAATCCTGAGTCGTGACAGGTGAAAGCCACCCCAGGACACACTGGCTGTCCCACACCGTGGGCAGCACCCCTGCTCCTGTGGTGTGCACGGCTGTCAGGGGTGCTGCGAGGGCACAGGATGTCCCAGGCTGCCCTGCCCAGGGGAGGATGTGGCTCTGGAGGAGCACCTGGCTCAGGGTGCAAGGGGGAACCAGGCAACGGAAAATCCCTTAGTCCCTGGGTGGGATTTCCATTCTGAGAGAGCTGAGGAGAAGGAGGGGCTCCTTCCCTGGCCTCGCTGGCCCTGGGGGCCCTGGGAGGCTGCCGTTACTGCTTCCCAGTCCAAAGCAGCTCTGCATATTTGGAAGAAAATCAAACTTGGAAGCGGATCAGCCTGTCACCATTCCAGCGCCTCTCCGCCACGGCGGGCTGCGGTGCCAGCGAAGTTTCCATGGGCGCAGGAAGCACCGGCGGCCGGCAGGGAATTCTGCTCTCCCGGACCGGGAGGTGCCGGCCCCGGGGCTGGGCTGGGCTGGCCGTGCAGGGCTGGCTCCTGCCGTGGCTGCGGGGATGGCTTGAGCTTCCCTGGGGAGGCTGGCACAGGGCAAAGAAGGGCACACTGTCCCTGCTCCCAGGCTGCTCCTTAAGGGACACCTGGGTCACCTCCGTGAGCCAGCCGAGGTGTGCTGGCTCTGCTCTCTGCCTGAGCTCGTCCCCTCTGCTCCTGAGAGAGGGACAGCAAGGAAGGGTGGCCGTGCTGGCAGCTGGGGAGGGGACAGGACAGGTGGGTGGCAGTGCCCAGCCCTGCTGGCTCTGACCCCGCTGGGGTCCTGCACCAAAAGTTCCATGGTCACCACCGGGCTCTGGGCACGGCTTGGCCACCAGCACAAATTGCCCTTAAACATCCCAGGCACAGCCTCTGGGTGATGTCACTCTGTGCCAAAATATCCTGGAGGCACAAAGCATCGTTTTAATGGAGGTGGAGAGGGGGTTTTGTGTCCTGTAAAAAAATAAAAATCAGGTCTATGGAGTGGAAAGGCCACGAACCTGGCTTGGGAGCCAAAATGCATTTCTTACATAAAAATGTACAATTCTCAGTGATGTTTCTCTACAGAAAGATTTCGAAAGAACAAAACAAACTGATCTGTGATGTTTGTGAGTGTGGCTATTTTAGAATTTATTTCCATAAGTGATTTTTTTCTTAAAGATGTTTAATAGTAATTCCTATAATAAAGTCCTGTTGTACTCTTCACGCTGTATATTTTTTTTTAACACTGTGTTTACAGGGGAAGGAAGAAAGAAAGGGGGCTGGGGAGGGAAGGGGCAGCTCCAGCCCAGCTCCATCTGTGCCCCTCAGATGCAAATGCCCCAAATCTGCCCTGGTTTGCTGCTCCTGATGGGGCTGAATTTGTGTCTGGTGGTTTCCTCAATAACCCATGAGCCATCCCTGGGGAAGCAGTGGCAGTGCTGGGGGACACACGGAGCATCCCCCTGACTTTCAGGGACAGCACAGAACCCCCTGTCCTGTGCCAGCTTTCATTTCCCAGCAGGATCGGAGCTTTCCAGCCTCGGGAACCTTCCCTGTGAAAGAAAAGCCTGGAAAAAATCAGGGCATTCTTGCCTTAAATGTCAAAAGCAGCGAAAGGCTGGAGGCAGGCTGGCCGAGCCCAGGGCTCCCTCTGGAATTGCTCTCCTCGCAGGGACAGGGCTCTGCTTCCCGGCTGGGGCTGCCTGGGGATGGGGCTGGACACGTCCGAGCCCGGCCATCCCTGCCGGCCCTCGGTCTGCCGTGGGAATGTACTGCCCCCTTGCTCCGCCGGGCTGCAGCTGGGAGCGGGGATGCCTTTCCCTTCTTCCCTTCCCTTCCCTTCCCTTCCCTTCCCTTCCCTTCCCGAGCGCTGGGCTGCACCTAGCGCCGGGCAGGGCTGCGGGCAGGCTGCGGCTGCTGCAGGTGGGACACCGAGCTGGGAACACGCTCTGGGATCCATGGGGTCACACTATGTGTGGGACTGCTGCAGGTTGGACACCGGGCTGGGACACTCTGGGATCCATGGGATCACACTGTGTGCTGTGGCTGCTGCACGTGGGACACCGGGCTGGGAACACACTCTGGGATCCATGGGGTCACACACTGTGTGCTGGGACTGCTGCAGGTTGGACACCGGGCTGGGATCCATGGCATCACACTCTGTGTGTGGGGCTGCTGCAGGTGGGACACCGAGCTGGGACATTCTGGGGCTGCTCTGTCTGTGGGGCTGCCCAGGGCGGCTCTGGCCATGGGGCAGCCCCCGGACAGGGCTGGTGGGGTGGCACTGGGGGGTGGCACTGTGGGGGTGTCTGTGAGGGGTGGCACTGAGGGGGTGACACTGAGAGGTGGCACTGAGGATGTGTCTGTGAGGGGTGGCACTGACGGGGTGGCACTGTGGGGGTGGCACTGTGGGGGTGTCCGTGAGGGACAGCGGCGGGACACGGCTGTGCGCCCAGCCATTCTGTGACACCGCACCAGCAAACACCACGAGATGAGGCTGCCGCGGGACTGCTGGCGCTGCCCGGGCTGGGGCCGAGGCTGTCGTGGCACACCGGGGCCGCTCCCGTCTGTCGCGACAGCGCCAAACGCATGGCGGCGACCCGGCTCGGCCATCGGCTGGCGCTGCCTGCACACCTTCTCCCGCCGCCGCTCGGCACTCGGCCGCGTGCCCTGGCGGCCGCTCCGGTTCCGGTTCCGTTCCGCTTCCATTTCCGGTTCCGCTTCCGGGTGCACGGCAGCACCGGGCCGGGCTCCGGGGCCCGTCCTGCGGGGTTGCCATGGCCGCCACGGCCGGGAGCCGCACGCAGAAGATCGGGAGCGTGTTCAGCCGGTGCGGAGTGGGGGGTTCAGCCGGGGCGGCGCCGGTTCCCCGCGAGCGCGGCCCGCTGAGCCCCCCCCCTGAGCCGCCTGTCGCCCGCAGGGCGCGGAACCTGGTGCGCACCGGGCTGCTGCGGAAGCCGCTGTGGCTGGACGTGTACGCCGCGTTCCCGCCGCTGCGCGAGCCCGTGTACCGCGTGCCGCGGCCGCGCTACCGGAGCCGGGACCGCGTCGGCGCCGTGCTCTACCGGGAGGACACCGTGCGAGCGTGCGTGGGGTGAACGGGGGCCGCGGGACACCGGGGGGCTCGGGGTGAACCGGGGCTGCGGGACACCGGGGGCTCGGGGTGAACGGGGACTGCGGGACACCGGGGGCTCGGGGTGAACCGCGGGGGGCTGGGGTCATTTTTTATTTTATTTTATTTTTTTTTTTAATAAATCGGGTTTTTTTGGGTAATTTTTTTTAAAATAAATTGGGGATTTTTTAATAAATTGGGGTGGGGTTTTTATGAATAAATCTGAGTGGTTTTTTTAAAACATTGGGGTGGTTTGGGGATAAATCGGGGTTGATTTTTGGAATAAATCAGGTTTTTTTAACAAATTGGGGTGGTTTTTTTTAATAAATCAGGATTTTTTTAAATAAATCAGGGTGGTTTTTTTAATAAATTGGGATTTTTAAAAAATAAATTAGGGGTTTTTTTAAAGCAAATTGGGGTTTTGTTTTTAAATAAATTAGGGTGGTTTTTGATTAAGTCGGGGTGGGATTTTGGAATAAATTGGGGTGTTTTTTTAAATAAATCTGGATTTTTAAAAATAAATCAGGGTGGATTTTTTAATAAATCAGGGTGGATTTTTTAATAAATCAGGGTGGTTTTTTTAATAAATTGGGGTTTTTTTTAAATAAATCAGGTTGGTTTTTCTAATAAATTGGGATTTTTTTTTAATAAATCAGGGTGTTTTCTTTAATAAATTGGGATTTTTTTTTAATAAATCAGGGTGGTTTTTTAATAAATTGGGTTTTTTTTTTTAATAAATCAGGGTGGTTTTTTTAATAAATTGGGATTTTTTTAAAATAAATCAGGGTGGATTTTTTAAAATAAATCAGGGTGTTTTTTCTAATAAATTGGGATTTTTTTTTAATAAATCAGGGTGTTTTTTTTAATAAATTGGGATTTTTTTTCCATAAATCAGGGTGGATTTTGTGCCCTGCCCCTGTTTCCAGCAGAGCTGGAGGCTCCTCTGGGCCCTGCTCCTGCTGCACCCTCAGTTCTCACTCTGCTGCTGTTCACTCTTGATTTAGCTGCAAAATCCAAGCAGTTTCCTTTTCTGAGCAGGAGGTTTTACAGAGTTTATGGCAATGGCCCCAAACCTTTCGACCTGACGCAGTTAAACTTCAAATCCACCTGCCAGAGGTAAGATGATGAAACCAAAAACGTTCCTGAGGCTGCCCCTTGTCCCCTGGAGTCAGGGGGCCAGAGCATCACTCTGAGTGTGAAAAAAAACAACTTTGCAACGCAGGTTTGTTGAGAAATACAACGAGCTGAAGGAAGAAGGGAAAATCCAAGAGGAGGAATTGTTTGAAGAGACAGGAAAAGCCCTTTTAGCCAGTGGGATCCTTTTACAGAGGAGAGGAGTAGATAAAGTGAGTATTGAAAGAATGAGTGTTGAGAAAACTCCTCAGTGCTGAGCTGCTCTGGGTGAAACCCTCAGCACAGCAGGCACACACCTGGAGGTCTCAAAATGTCTTTGCTGTGCACAGAAAACTTTCCTCTGGGCCTTGAGCAGGTCTGGCCAAGGCTGAGGGACTTGGGGGTGAGCAAGGATGTTTTTTCTGGAGATGAACTTGAATAACCATTCAAATAATCCGTGGTGCATGTGTATGCAGCATCTGGAACTTTGTACATCTGCTGTTGTATCCTGAATTTCCCTGTGTTTTAGCTGGAGGGCAGCAGCCTCTCTGGGAACGTGGTGGCACTGTGCTGTGCCTCCACGGTGGGAATTAAACTGCTCCTGCACACGGGGGCTGCTGCTCTGCTCAGTCAGCCTTCAGGAGCTCTTCCCAGCCTGTTCCATGTGACCTTTGCTGTCCTTCCCTGCAGGCTGCTGCTTCCAGGGATGCTGCCCTGCAGCCCCAGCTGCAGGCCGTGCTGGAGGAGCTGCAGGAGCAGCCACCAGAGCTGGCAGGGACACAGAAGGAGAGTCCCTGTCCCTCCTGACAGCCCTGCTGAGCCACCTCCAGCCCTCTCTGGGGACATTTCCCCCTGCTGCCCTCCAGGCTTGCCCATGGCACACGTGCTGTCCTCTGTCCAGCTCCACATTGATAAAGTCACAGAAAATCTCTTTTTTTTTTAGTGTTCACGACTGTTTTCTGAAATGGAGTTGGAAAATAACCGAGTGTAAAAGTGGAAAATTAAAACGTTTTCTTTAAAAACTGGGAGTTCTGCCTGTTCAGGTGTCTGGTGTGCAGCAGTGGAGATGTTTCCTGCTGGGGGAATGCAGATCCTGTTTGATGTATTCCAGCAGCTGTCTGAAGTGTCATCCTTTTATAGCTGATGGAGAAAGGTGCTATTTATAGACAGACTGCTGTAATGTGCTCTTCCCATCCCTTCATTTGCTTAAATTCACAGCGGGGTGAGGTGTGGCAGGACCAGAAAACTGGGAGCTTTGCAGATTTTAGTGGCTCCTGATGAAACTGGCACCTTGGAAGTGTGAAAATGGGATGTCCCAGCTGTTTGCTGGGAGAAAGGTGATGCTGCTCAGGAGCAGTCACTGGAAATCTGGCAGGGACAAAAATAACAAAACCAGCCTTCCTGGGATCAGGAGGGAGCTCTTCCCATGCCTGCACACCCCGTGGCTGGCTGATCTTTCATTAAACATTTTGCTTGGGCTCTGTGAAGAGCAAACCGTTTGTTTTGTGTCTTTTTCTTTGTGTTTTTTTGCTGTTTTTCTTTCGTTTGTGGTTTTTAACATCCCGGACTGGCACCACGCCCAGTCAGAGGTGTGGACGGTGTCCAGCCCCTCCCTCCCTGCCCGGTTTGGTGCTGCTGCTGTGGCTGAGGTGCAGGAGAGCTGGGTGGCAGTGAAAAGCAGGGTGTGAAAAGCCCCTGCTCTGGTTTCTGTGCCTCGTTTCGCTCCTGGGTGATGTGATTGCAGCAGAATTGCTCAGTTACCCACGGAAGGTCAAACTTTACTCTTGCAGAAGAGCTAAACCCTCTCAGGGTTTTGTTACAAAGAGCAGAAATCCCTGTGTTTTAGCTTCCAGACCCAGCAGTAACATCGAGTTCAGAGCCCTGAGGTGTGCCCTGAACGAGTTGCGCTGGAATTGGTTTTATTTTGCGTTGAAAAAAAAGTCAATCCCCTTGGGTTTGCCCTCGGGGGCAGCTGTGCCCTGCGGGGGTGAACTGAAACCCCTCAGGGGCTTTTCCTCCCCCTGAACACCTGGGAAGGTGATGGGGACCAGCTGCAGCTCGTTAATTACCATGGCCACAGGTGAGGGAGGGTTTTGGGGTGATTGCCTCGTGCCCGGGGAGCCAAAGCCCGGCACGGGAAGGGCAGGGAGCCGTGCCTGTGAGGAGCCGGGGGTGCGGGTGCCCTCCGTGCCCTGCCCCAGCAGTTCCTGCGGCGCTGCCGAGCTCACCCCGGCCTTCCGAGCCAGGTACGTGCGGGAGAAGCTGGGAATCTCTGCGGGACCCCGTGTTTGAGAGGCAGGGAGAGCAGGAGTCGTGCCCAGGCGTGGTTTGGGAATGCTCGGCTGGAAGCTGCCAGGGCCTGGGGCTGGGGCAGGCTGTGGCTGATGGAGAAGCGCTTGGAAGGTTCAGCGCCGTGGATTTGTTGTGCCTGGTGGGTGGCGGGGATCCCACGGGGTCAGGGACGCGAGCCGGAGCATTTGGTGCGATTCGGGTAAAAAAGTGAAACCAGCGACTCTGAGCAGCGTTCGATGGGCGCGTGTGCCGGGCTGGAGCGCGATGCTGATGGTGGGCACCTGCTGCAACTGCGGGGAATTAATTAACAAGCTGTGGGCAGCAGCCGGGGGGCGATTTGTCGCTGCCGGGGCGTTTTCCCGGCAGCAGGAGGGCTCCGAGGGTCCCCGCAGCCCCCGGTGCCCCGGCGCTCCCCGCTAGGTGGGAGCCGCGCTCCGCGCTCCCGGCACCGAGCGGCGGCCGCGGCCCCTCCCGAGCCCTGCCGGGCTCCCGCAGGCTGCGAGCCTCGGCTTCCACCGGGAAACATCTGAAAAGGCACCGCGGCTTCCCCGGGGTGGCACCGGCCCATGCACCGGGGGGATCGCGGTGATGGAGAGCGCCGGGCCGCGGGGATTGCTGCCCTGGGCAGGGCAAAGGCTGCTCCGGCGCTTCCAGGGCTGTGTCCCCGTGCCCACGACAGCCCTGCGGTCCGGTGATGTCCCCCAGGAACGCTGGCTCCTGCCCGGGGAGCGGCGGCCGCTGCCGCGCCATCCGCAGCCCGGTGTCCTTCCCTGCGCCGGTCCCCCACCTCCCTGCCGCGGAGACAGCTCCTGTCGCCGGCTGCCGGGCTATTTTCAGGGACGGGAAATGCCGAAGTATCGGTTACACGGAGCCCTGACTGCGGAGGGAGCGGGCAGGGACGCCTTGCACAGCCAGGCTGAAGCTTCTCCGGGGCCGGCTCCCAAAAACGGGGGCTGAGGGTCTCGGGGTGCAGAGCTGCCTGCCCTGTGGCAGAATGCAGGTGTGCTGGTGCAGGGGGGGACTGGAGGAACCTCCCAGGGATGCTGCAGCACTCCTTACACCGGTGTTTTCCCAAACAATGCAAAGGTGTCCTGCTGGAACAGACACCTGCAGTCCTACAGGTCAGGGCTGCAGAGCCGGGCTCTGAGCTTGGGCTCTGCTTTAACCCACAGGCAGCTGCTCCCAGAGCCCTGCTCAGCCCCTTCACGTGTTCCTGGGCCGTGGATTATCCGCTGGTATGTGTTGAGGGCAGGGGAACTAAGGATTTAATAGGATCAGGTCTAATGTCTGGAGCAGCCAAAATAATTCATCAGCTTTGCTGGAAAAACAGGTGATCTGACCTTGCCAATGCCAAGCTCCACCGAGGCAGATAATAAAGGGTTTAGTGTTTAAAGAACATGGCTCCAAATAAGATATAAAATTGTTGGCATTGCCACTCTGTGGAATCCTCTGGGATTTGCCTCTGCCCAACCCCGCTGAGCACACACATTTGGTCTTCAAACCTGCCCTGTTTTGAGCTTTGGAATATTCCAGAAATCTGCATCTGCTAGGAGAATGGCTGTGGAATCAGAGCAGGGTGCTGGCTCTGATGTGCTTTTCCACACTGGAGAGGGGATGGCACAGAGGTGGCTCCTGCTTTGCAAGACCTGGGAGGTGTCAGCTCTGCCTGGTTCTGTCTCTAAACTGGGGCTTTGTAATGAATTTGGTTTGGTGTTTCTTGTAGCGTTTTGCTTCTGCAGCACCAGTAACGTCCGTGGCACAGAAATTCCTGGTCTGAGAGTTCTGGGCTGTGTGAGGGGCAGGACAAAGCCCCTGGGCAGGGCAGGAGGGTCAGAGCAAACCGGTGAGAGCAGCGGGCTGAGCCCAGCAGCGGCTGATGGAGCTGCTGCTGTTTCACCAGCAAATGCTGAGTCCTGGCAGGACCTGCCCCCCTTGGTCAGTTCTGGCCCTGGGATGGCAGCCACGGCCCCTCTGGCCAGGTCATGGAGGGGCTGAGCCCCCGAGGGACCCCACTCTGGGGGGAGCTCACTCTGGGCACAGCAGTGCGTTTGATGAACATTTTGACAGTCATTGCAGGGGGGCCAGGCTGTGTCATGTCCCCCAGCTCAGCCTGGCTGCCAGGGGCTGCTCTGCTGGCTGAAAAGGAAATGCTGCTCCAAGAAACCCCTGTGGCCCCATCCCGACGAGCTGTGGCCTCGGTGTCTGGGCCGGTGTCACTGTCCCGGGGCCGGTGTCACTGTCCCCGGGCCGGTGTCACTCCCCAGAGCCGGTCACTGCCCCGGGGCCGGTGTCACTTCCCGGGGCCGGTGTCACTCCCCCGGGGTCTGCCGTCTCCCCGAGCCCGGGGTCTGCCGTCTCCCCGCAGCGATTTGGGCTGTCCCCGCTGCCGGGGGTCCCGCAGGAGCCCGGTGGCTCAGCTGCCCTTGGCTCTGTCTGTCCCTGTGCCGCTGCTGCCGCCTCTCTGCATATTGCAAGCTCATTCTGATGTGCGCTAATGCTATTATCCTGCAGAAATTGAAATCAAGTCTGAACCTATAATGTTTCACTGGGAGGGAATTGGGGTTATATATTCCTGTGTACAGCAGCATTCTATTTCAGTCATAGCATTTAATTATGATTGGTGTGTTAGTGCCCACCAGAGCATAACAAATTGTCATTATGTTATTCTGCTGAGTCTAATTTAATTGGCAAGTTGTCACAAAAGCAATTATCCATCATTTATTTTGTTGCCATAACCACATCTTGGAGAGCACCTGCTGTCTGAAGTGGAAGGGCTCTGCAGTCTCTTGGTCCTGGATTTCTTCCACTTGCCTGACACAAAGACACCATTTCCTCCTCTTATTTAAAAACGTGTTCCTCGTTTCCCAGCGTGGGCAGGGCTGGGAATGCCGGAGGGATTGCTCAGGGCAGGTAGAGCCCTGCTGGGACATCCCGGGGCTGC